GATGGTGCAGGAATATTCCCTCCCTGTTTTGTGTACTTGAATAGAAAACAGGAGCTTTTTCAAGCGGTATGTCTGCTCTCGTCAAACACCGCACAAAGTCCAATATGAATTCTTTCCTCTCCATAGATGATGCAGTGGCTCTGGAGAAGCAGGTTGTCAGAGCAAGTTGTCTTTGAGGTCCAGATCCACCGAGAAAGGAAAAAATAAAAATTGATCTTCATGATGCATTTGTCATTAGAAATGTTCTGTCTATTTGTTCTTGTTTGCTGTGCTTGTTTTACATGCTTTTAAAATTCAATCAAAAAGGAGGGAGATTAACTTTTGCAATCATACAAATTAAGATTTTCTTTCAAAATTAAAGTGAAAGCAAATAATGATACATTTTCATTTAATGTTATACATATCAAAGTATTTTACCTTCATTTTATTTCTTGATTGCCATTGCCTTGAGTTCACAATGTTTCTCATCAATGGTGTATTTGCGAACACGGTCAATTGTGTGATAGCAAACTTGGCAAAACAACTGCCCTCTTCTTCATAAAGCTCACCTGGATAGATTACAATTCCAACTGAGGGACAAACGGAAAATGAGACGTGCTGCACCTCGGCTTCCTCACGGGATTTACAAAAACGTTTGGAGATTATTGAATTGTACAACCTAAAAAGTAAAACAACCCTGAGATATTTTTAATTGAATTCAGTTGAATCAAGTTGTCTTGGTCAGGTTTCACTCCTTTTCTTGGGCAGAGGCTGAATTAATGGGGGAATTCAGGCTCATTCATTGACATTTTGAAGTGATATAGTCACTCAACAGTTTTTTTGGAATATTGGAACAAATAAATGTACTACACCTGAACATAACATAACATGTAAGAGCAGGAGTAGGCCATTCGGCCCTTCGAGCCTGCCCCGCCATTCAATCATGGCTGATCTTCTAATCTACTCCAGGTAATAACCTAACCCTGCCTTATCCCCATATCCCTTAATACCTTTTGCAATAAGAAATCTATCATCTATCATACATTCACCACCCTTTGAGTGAAGAAGTTCTTCCTCAACTCAGTGCGAAAGGGCTGGCCTCTGATTTTAAGGTTGTGACCCCTAGTTTTAGTTTCTCCAAACAGGGAAACAATCTCCTACTATCTACTCTATCATGCCCTTTGATGATCTTATAGATTTCTATAAGATCCCCTCTAATTCTTTGATATTCTAGAGAATATAGGCCCAACTTGGTCAGCCTATCCAGGTGTGGTCTCACCAGGACCCTATACAGTTGTAGCAAGACTTCCCTACTCTTATACGCTAATCCTTTCATAATGAATGCTAACATACAGTTCGCCTTCCTTATTGCTTGCTGCACCTGCAGACTAACTTTCTGTGATTGGTGTACAAGGACACCCAAGTACCTCTGGACGCTAACATATTCCAATCTTTCCGCTTCCAAAAAATAACCCGCTCTACTGTTTTTGTCACCTAAGTAGATGACTTTGCACTTCCCTACATTTTACTTCATCTGCCACGTACCTGCCCAATCACCTAACCTATTTTTCACGTCAGAAGGACGTCCCAAAGCGCTTCACAGAACACACTGTAAAGAGAATTGACTGTAAATTTGTGGGCGAATGTGGCAGCCAATTGCGCACAGCAATGTCCCACAAACAGTCGTAGATTGAAAATGCCAATTTTATTATTGTTTTTGGTTTTGGAGGGATTATTATTAGGCGTGTGGAGTAAGGAAACTTGCCCAAGGTTTCGCCCTGCCTGGAATTGAACTCGGGTCTCTCGTTTGCAAAGTGAGTGCTCTAACCACTGAGCTACAGGACTCCACTTCCTCCTGGTTTTGTGTCATGCACTTCCTCCTAGTTTTTTATAATAATCTTTTCCATGAAAAGACATGGAAAAGATTATTATAAAGGTAAAATTCTAACCAACATCCTCAAATGAATTATTTTGCAATTAGATCTATCTTGAATATTCTGGCACAATCTGTTTCCACCGCTTCCAATTACAAGAGTCAATTTCACAGTTTTACAACTTTTTTCATAGGAGGGACTATATCAGTTTCTCCTTACGATGTGGCAGGTCATTCGTGAATAATCTCATCATCTAAAGAGAACTCTGGTAGGGAAGGGTCACGAGATTACCATGCACTAGTTCAGTTTTTATGAGACGAGTAGCTATCGCAGATTTTTATCTTTGCACTGCCTTTGAAAAGCCACACACTCCACAACCTGTGTTAGTGAGAAAACCGAACATCAGTTCTGAGAAATACTGCTGCAAATACTTGGGGTATAGTGGTCCATAACACTGAATATTTCGGGTAAGCGCATGTAACAGTTTATTACCAAAGTGAAGCGTAAATGTTATCAAAAGATAGATTGTCAAATGAATGTAACACCGCATTGTGGGAGAATGAGAGGGGATAGGGAAAGTGTGTGTGCGAGAGAAGGGGAGAGAAGGAGATAGTGTCCCCCTCCCCACTCTCTGTAACCCCTCTCCCCCTCTGCACACACTCCCCCACCTCCGCTCTGTGTTTTGTTTAACACAATTTTCTGATAGCCTGGCTAAAAGCAACTAAACAGGTTTCTCCAGCTCTTCTTCTTGTAGTTAGCCAGTCTGAAACCCTGGGACCTTGTTTGATCCTCAATTATCCTTTCTAACCCACATCTGTGTCATGACCCGCTCTGCCTTCCCCCACCTCCGCAACGTCACCCGGCTCCAACTCTGTCTCACACCACAGGCCGCCGAAACCCTGATACACCCCTTCATTACATCCAGGCTCGATTTTGCAAACTCACTGCTTGTTGGCCTCCCCAACTCCTCGCTCCACAGGCTGCAGATCATCCAGAACTCTGCAGCCCATGTCCTCTCCCGCACCAGGCTCTACAACCTTATCTGCCCCATCCTTGCCCAATTCCACTGGCTTTCCATCACACAGAGGATACAGTTCAGGATCCTGGTCCTCACATTCAAAGCCCTCCATGGTCTTGCTCCCCACTACCCCTCCGATCTCCTGACCCCCTACCACCCTGTTCACTCGCTCCGCTCAGTGGGCTCCGGCCTGTTTCACGTCCTCCGCCTTGTTCGCCCTACTATCGGCGGGCGAGCCTTCCGCCACTCTGCACCCACCCTCTAGAACTCCATTCCAAAGTCCCTCCGTCTCGTCCACTCCCTCACCACCTTCAAGACCCACCTCAAGACCCTACTTTTGACCGTACTTTCGATCTTCCTGCTTCACCCCCTGCACTCCCCATTCTCCTACCTCGGCCCTCTACTCGGATCTGTAACTCTGTCTGTCCAGTGCCTTGGGACGTCCTCCGGAACTGAAAGGCGCTATACAAATGTAATGTTGTTGTTGTTGTAGTAACAAGATGACACCTGCAATTTATTTGTGTTAAGCGAGATCTCCTTTGAGCTGAACTGGCTCCAAGGTGACATGCCTGGCAATGGAATACTGGAATCGAGCAGCACTCTGTGGTAGTTTTGGTTAACCAGTTCCTGAGCCAGGCGGCCAGCAGTACTCCAGGGAACTGCTGATGACACCACAGCCAGCCTGGCTCATCGGCATGACCTGGAAGGGCAGAACAGTCATTGGGGGCAGGGAGTCATCCCACTCACTTCCTGTTTACCTTGCAAGCTGAAGCTCTAACAGGTAGGGTGATCCCACAGGTAGTGGAGCGGTAATGTGTTTGTGAAGAACAGGGTGGTGGAACTATGTGTTTTGATTTACCTGTATTTTAAAAAATTATCAACTGGGCTGTGTCTTTGACATCACAAATCTCATACAAAACATACAAAATTGCTTACTTTATTTTGTAACTGCACACTGTTTTTATTTTCTTTATTTTATTTTTTAATTTATTTTTGTTTTTTTTATTTTATTTGTTTTATTTTCCACCTACATTGGTTAAAAAAAATATTTAGAAGTCCGATCTTTGTTGAGTATTCGGCCTTCAGCTTCCTCTTTCCGCTTCTTTGATAAATTCATTTCAAATTAACGTCCTCTTCAGTGAAAAGTATTGCCGTGGTTGCTGTTGAAAAGTATTGCCGCGTGCGTGTTTGAAAATTTCCTGATCCATACATTTGGCGTAAGCCTGATTCAACACTTAAGGGAGCGTGCGCATAACTAAGAAGTGTGATTGGGTGATGTTTCCGGTCAGATTCAAGTGCAAAATTTGTGCGACTTTCTGGGACTGAACAAACTATAATTTTTTCTGTTGCTGGACACAATGACGGGCTGGATAGAATCATTTGGCAGGTTGGATATGGCCCGCAGGCCGTCTTTTACCCACCCCTGCTGTAGATCATAACAGGTTTTTCAACTAGCTCAGAATAGCAAAACCAGATGACACGGCTTATGATTGAAAGGGGGGTAAATTGAGAACAAATCTACAGAAATGCTATTTCAGTGAGTGAATAGTAAACCTGTGGAATAGGTTCCCGAGGGAGATGGTTGAAGCAGGAAATGTTGATTCCTTCAAACACAGATGAGATAGTTTTCATTTAGGAAATAACATTATGGGATATAGCACATGGGTAGTTCGGAATATATGTGCATACGACTGTCAGGAAGGTTGAAGGTGAACTATATGGACCTTGGTCTTTTTTTCATCTTGAATTTCTTAAGTTCTTATGTAGTCCTGTAGCTCAGTGGTTAGATCACTCGCTTTGCAAGTGAGAGACCTGAGTTCAATTCCAGGCAGAGGGCGAAACCTCGGGCAAGTTTCCTTACTCCACACACCTAATAATAATCCCTCCAAAACCCAAAACAATAATAAATTGGTCATTTTCAATCCATATGACTGTTTGTGGGACATTGCTGCGCGCAATTGGCTGCCGCGTTCGCCCATAAATATACAGTCAATTCACTTTACAGTGTGTTCTGTGAAGCGCTTTGGGATGTCCTCCCGACGTGAAAAGCACTATATCAAATGCAAGGATTATTATTATTATTATTATTATTATTATTATTATTATTATTATTATTATTATCTTAGCTGCACAAGGAGAGAGAGGTCATCATTGGTTACTTTCACAAGGGTTGTCTCAGTGCTGTGGGTGGAGCAGATGTTGGACTGGAAAGGCTAAGAGTGGAAAGAAAAGTGGGTGCAAATTTGAGTCATAACAGTGGATTTGGATACGAAGGGAAGCAGGAGATGGACCAGTAATTGGAGAGTTTGGAGGGAGTGACGGTAGGATTTTTGATGAAGGGAATGATGATTTTTACTGAGGCAAGGAGGACAATGTTGGAAGAGAGTGAGAGGTAGGTTCAGGACCAAATTAATGCATTATCCGGGTAAGCCATAGCTTAGGGCCCCAAGATCTGAGACCCCAAGTGATGAGAGAAGAGGCAAAGCGGGGGGTTGTGACTCAAACCTCTGACCCTGCCTCCCTTCCCTTCACTCTTCAGTAAAGGAGTTGACAATATCCAGGACCTCGTCTCCGTGCCTTGTCCAACCTCATGAGAAGCAATGCAGTGAATGACCGAAAGAGAAATGCAACCAGGAGGTAAACCACTATGATTTCTGAGAAATATTTAATTGAACTAAGTTGAATCAAGTTGCCTAAGTCAGGTTTCACTCCACTTCTTGCGCAGTGACTGAATTAATGGGGGAAGTCAGTTTCCTTCACTGACGTTTTGAATTGATATGGTTGCTGAACTGATTTTGCAGTATTGCAACAAAGAACTGCACTACACCTGAAAAGATGTGGAAAAGATTATTGTAAAAGTAAAATTCCTGTAGGGTTAGGGTTAACAACATCCTCAATTGAACTATTTAGCAATTAAGTCCATCTTGAATATTCTGGCACCACCCTTTCAGGAAATGCATTCCAGCAGTGCATTCCATGCAATTTGACAGGAGGGACTATTTTCTTCTTTCTTCTGATAGGGAAGGGCCATGAGATTACCATGTACAAGTTGAATTGTTTTGTTTTCGACAAGTAGCGAACTAAAATCTCCACCTGTGAACTGTCATTGGGATTTGTTTGCCTTTGAAGAGTCCCAACCCTCCACGTCTGTTGTTAGTAACAGAAGGGAACATCAGTTCTGAGAAATACTGCTGCAAATACTTGGTCGGTAACACTAAATATTTTGGGTAAGTGCATGTAATAGTCTATTAACAAAGTGAAGTAAAATGTCATCAAAAAATAGATTGTAAAACTAGCAAAATGCAACAGTAAACTTTAAATGTGTTTGTGTAGAACAGGGTGGTGGAACTTTGGGTTTTGATTTACCTGTATTTTAAAAAATTATCAACTGGGCTGTGTCTTTGACATCACAAATCTCATACAAAACATACAAAATTGCTTACTTTATTTTGTAACTGCACACTGTTTTTATTTTCTTTATTTTATTTTTTAATTTATTTTTGTTTTTTTTATTTTATTTGTTTTATTTTCCACCTACATTGGTTAAAAAAAATATTTAGAAGTCCGATCTTTGTTGAGTATTCGGCCTTCAGCTTCCTCTTTCCGCTTCTTTGATAAATTCATTTCAAATTAACGTCCTCTTCAGTGAAAAGTATTGCCGTGGTTGCTGTTGAAAAGTATTGCCGCGTGTGTGTTTGAAAATTTCCTGATCCATACATTTGGCATAAGCCTGATTCAACACTTAAGGGAGCGTGCGCATAACTAAGAAGTGTGATTGGGTGATGTTTCCGGTCAGATTCAAATGCAAAATTTGTGCGACTTTCTGGGACTGAACAAACTATAATTTTTTCTGTTGCTGGACACAATGAAGGGCTGGATAGAATCATTTGGCAGGTTGGATATGGCCCGCAGGCCGTCTTTTACCCACCCCTGCTGTAGATCATGACAGGTTTTTCAACTAGCTCAGAATAGCAAAACCAGATGACACGGCTTATGATTGAAAGGGGGGTAAATTGAGAACAAATCTACAGAAATGCTATTTCAGTGAGTGAATAGTAAACCTGTGGAATAGGTTCCCGAGGGAGATGGTTGAAGCAGGAAATGTTGATTCCTTCAAACACAGATGAGATAGTTTTCATTTAGGAAATAACATTATGGGATATAGCACATGGGTAGTTCGGAATATATGTGCATACGACTGTCAGGAAGGTTGAAGGTGAACTGTATAGACCTTGGTCTTTTTTTCATCTTGAATTTCTTAAGTTCTTATGTAGTCCTGTAGCTCAGTGGTTAGATCACTCGCTTTGCAAGTGAGAGACCTGAGTTCAATTCCAGGCAGAGGGCGAAACCTCGGGCAAGTTTCCTTACTCCATACGCCCAATAATAATCCCTCCAAAAAAACAAAACAATAATAAATTGGTCATTTTGAATCCATGACTGTTTGTGGGACATAGCTGTGCGCAATTGGCTGCCGCATTCGCCCACAAATATACAGTCAATTCACTTCACAGTGGGTTCTGTGAAGCGGTTTGGGACGTCCTCCCGACGTGAAAAGCGCTATATCAAATGCAAGGATTATTATTATTATTATTAGTCCTGTAGCTCAGTGGTTAGATCACTCGCTTTGCAAGTGAGAGACCTGAGTTCAATTCCAGGCAGGGCGACACCTTGGGCAAGTTTCCTTACTCCACACACCTAATAATAATCCCTCCAAAACCAAAAACAATAATAAATTGGTCATTTTCAATCCATGACTGTTTGTGGGACATTGCTGTGCTGCCGTATTCGCCCACAAATATACAGTCAATTCACTTTACAGTATATTCTGTGAAGCGCTTTGGGACGTCTAGAAGACATGAAAAGCGCTATATCAAATGCAAGGATTATTATTATTATTGTTATTATGTACGTGCAGCTCGGAGGAAATTTATTCTTTTTACAGATTCTCAAGAATGTAGTTGCAAACTGTATGATAACACTGATTATCAACTAATTTATTTGGTTATTTGCTTTTCTCAGGTGTAAGAAAGTAAATTTGCTGAGCTGACAGTGGGCACTGGGGCACTGAGCTCAACATGGTTGAAGAAGGCACAAAAGCATCTCATCCCATCTCTGTATCCTGGCGTAATTTCATTTTAATCACAGGGCTGGGAGTATTGCTGATTTTGGTTATGAATATTTATCTCATGGAGGTATGTGGAGCAGCTCTCTCTCTCGCCTTCTCTGATGTTGACAGTCACTCGCACTACTCACTTCCTCTCACCATCTCTTGCTGTTTCTCCCTCACTCGCGCTCTCCTCCTTACTCGCTCTCCCACTTGCTCACTCTCTTGCATGCTTTGCTCCCTCTGTTGCTCTCCTCTCTCTCTGTGCTCTTTCTCGCGCTCTGCTCCCTCCCTCTCTTGCTCGCTCCCACTGTCTTCCTCACTCTCACAAGTTTGGCTCTTTTTCTCTCACTTTCTCTCTCTCGGTCTGCATTCTTGCTCTCTCTCTCTCTTTCACTCATTCTTTCATTCACTCTTTCACAAGAGGGAGTGCCCTCTTGCTCTCTCTCTCTCCCTCTTCTCAGTTTGTACTCTATGTGATAATTCCTACCCTTTTGGGTGGTTTCTTCTAACATTCCCCCGTTTCTTTATAAGAGAAACCTCATGCATTTTAAGGACTAATAACGGGATCTAATCCCATTCCATTTATTACAGTGATTGGCTTCAGATATGGATTGATCAGTTCCATGATAATTGGCTCATATTAACAGTTCTGTTGCTTATATGCTAACCCTTTATTAAAAGAAACTCGAGTCGTACTTAACTGAAGTCAAAAAAATTTTATTATGCACTTAATTGCACTAATTCACGTACACCATGTTGTTGCAACATTAATCAAATTAAAGTGCAACTCTTAATTCTCTATGGGTATCTTACTTATGCCCACAAAATATACAGTCAATTCACTTTACAATATTTTTTGAAGCGCTTTGAGGTGTCTCCAAGGTGTGATAAGGCGCTATATCAAAAATGTAAGGATTATTGTATTACTTACCACTTAATACTATTAGGAGCAGATTGACAATACAATTTAGTCACAGAAATCAACTCCAAATCTGAGAAATCTAACTCCCAGTTCAGCCCCGTACCTCACTAAACATTAAAGATCCCATGGCACTATTCGAAAAGACACAGGAGTTTTTTCCCAGTATTTTAACCAGCAATCCCTCAGATACAATTTGATTCATTTCATTGCTGTTTGTGGGACATTGCAATGCTCAAATTGACTGTTGGACTTGCCTATAATATATACAGTCACTGCACTTCAGTAAATCCTGTGAAATGTTTTGAGACGTTCTCCAGATACAAACATTATTGTCATTATTTCATAAGAATCATTAAAGGAAGATACAAGTGGGTGTATTTAATAAAGTTGTGTGTATTTTTTCACAGTCAAATTATTTTTCAATCTCTGGATCAGCACCAAAGAGATTCTCAGATCCGCAATTGTTTCGATCAAAGAATGAAAGGACGGGGGTGAGTAAATTTCCATGGTTGGCCAAACTGTTAAACTGTGGCTACCTCGTTGAAAGATTTACACCTGCTGAAAGAGCTGAGGGAATGTTCCTGTTGAAAATGATCGAATGGACAAACTCACCTGGAGCTCGCACACCCTTTATGAACAGCACTGACCCAAAACATTCTCACTTTCTTATTTTAAACTCTCAGAACACTTTCCACATTGGGGATCAGTTACAGGTGATGGTCCACATGTATGATTTTTCAGGACACCCAAAGCAATACGGAGGTGACTATCTCCAGGCCCGGATCCACACCCCAGAGCTCAAAGCGGGTTCAGTGGGAACAGTTGTCGATTACCAAAATGGATCGTACAAGATCAATTTTACTTTATTTTGGTCGGGGAAAGTTGAAGTGTCTGTTATCTTGGTTCATCCCAGTGAAGCGATTCAAGTACTCAAATGGATGCGGGATGAACACAAATATAAGATTGCCTATCAAAGCAACTTCAGATCCGGCAATATCAAAGAGACAACTAAGTGTTATCTTTGTTTGCCTGATGGTGTCCCTGTCTGTAACTTTACTGATCTCAAGACTGGGGAACCCTGGTTCTGTTATAAACCACAGAAGCTGCACTGCTCTGCTCGGATCAGCCATGCTAAATTAAGCTATAACACATCTTTCTTCATTGGTGGTGAAGAACGTTATTTCACAAGGTAGGACACTTGCCGTTCTTACAGTTCTTTACTTTCTTCATATCTTCCAATGGGGATATATGTATGAGCCGCAGCGTCACTTTCCTTTTGGTAATGTGATTGAGGAGTCGGGGGACGCACAGCAGGCCTGGGTTAGTTAGCGAAGGGCGAGGGCAGAAGAGTGTGGTGCGAGCCGATCGGAGAAGTAGGAAGATGCTGGTGTGCACTGATTTGAGGTCTGAATGGCCCATTTCTGTGTTGTAACATTCCAGTGTTCTCGCCATATTCCTTCACTCAGAGACACGGTGACAAAAATGAGGCATTTGTGTACTTGTCTTTTCTTAGATGGGCCCCTCCTCAGCTTAGACGACTTCAACCTCCACTTCACCCCTTCTTGCTCTACCTCCTCTGACTTTTTCTCCCTCCTCTCAACAACAACTTGCATTTGTATAGCAAGGCTAGTGTCCCAGAGGGCTTGACAGTGGCAGAGCACGACGCTGAACCGGGGGGAGGTGACCATAGGCAGAGTCGAAGAGCAACGTCTTCAGGTGCAACCTTAAGATGGGGAAGGATGGGGCAAGGCAGAGGGATTGAGGGAGAGTCTTCCAAAGTTTCGGGGCTTAATGGCTGTAAAGGTGGCCACCTATAATGGAACGAAGGGCACAATGGACAAGCAGAAGGTTGGAGCCAGTTGAATAGAGCAACGGGTAGTGGGTTGGGGAATCAGCTGGTTGAAGGGGAGGTGCGAGGGCATGAAGGTGAGGTTGAGGATCTTGACATCGATCTGTTTGGTGTTAAGGAGCCAGTGGAGCAAGGCTAGAATTCGTGTGAGGGGGGTATGGAGTTTATAGCGGGTGACTATGCAGGCGGCGTAGCTTTGTACTAATTGGATTTTGAGGATATATAAACTGTTAATTAATTGAAAAAATATAATGTCATAACTAACAATAATGAACCTTGTCATATTTCCAGCAAAGTCAACCTTGTGCAGTCCATATTACCCAAAGGTCCGGGCTATATAACTGTAGTGAAATCAATTCATGCAGGTAAGAGCTATATCATTTGAATAGTGAGTAAATGAAAGGTTTGGTCAATGAAAGGGAACATAAGTACAGCTGTTGGAGTAATCCTTTCAGACTGCAGATATGGGTGAGTCTTTTTTGAATAAAAAGTTATTTAATACATCTGGAGTTATTTTGAGAAAATAAATAATAATAAATAAATAATTGTTGCATTTGATATCGAGTCTTATTACGCTGTTGAGACATCTCAAAGAGTTTCACAGGATATACTGTAAAGTAACTCTGTATGTTGTGGGGAATAAAAGATATCCAGGAATAAAAGCATTCCCTTCATGCTATAATAATAATAATAATAATAATAATAATCCTTGCATTTGATATAGCGCTTTCACGTCGGGAGGACTTCCCAAAGCGCTTCACAGAACACACTGTAAAGTGAATTGACAGTATATTTGTGGGCAAACGCGGCAGCCAATTGCGCACAGCAATGTCCCACAAACAGTCATCGATTGAAAATAACCAATTTATTATTGTTTTTGGTTTTTTTGGAGGGATTATTATTAGACATGTGGAGTAAGGAAACTTACCCAAGGTTTTGCCCTGCCTGGAATTGAACCCAGGTCTCTCACTTGCAAAGCGAGTGCTCTAACCACTGAGCTACAGGACTCCACACTAATTAGCTAATTAGCATTTAGATAGTTGATGATGTATTTATACTTTGTGCGCCGCTATATTTTGATCATTTGATTACATGGAGTTGTGTGGGTGGTAACTTTGGTCTGAGATAATTAATATGCTCTATATTTGCATGAAAAAATCCTTTATCCATCAGAGGAAACTCATTCTGCTACAGATGTTAATTCAGGACATTCCTGATTTGTATGGCTCCGTACCACTCCAAACATTTTTACATCAATGTTTGTAACATTTTCTGGTTTAATCTACAAGTAGATTCTACATCCCACAATTGAAGGTTGTCATGGATGCTAATCAACCAATTGGAAAATTGATAATCCATGGAGAATCAAGATTACCATGTATTAGCATGTGTTTCAGCTGATTTCCAGTTTTGGATCTCACTTTATTTTTACTTGTCTTTCTTGGAGAATGTGTCCATGGCAAGTCTCTGACTTGACCTTGTTCTTGTTTATTTTCAGCTCTGCTTCTCTTTTTATTTTCAGGTGCAAATGTCGGAAACTGTGTCCGTGGCAAGTCTCTGACTTCACCGTCAGGTTTTTACTTTCAGAACCAGTGGATGTCAACACAATGCAATATTCGCCGCTTCGACACTTCTACAAAGGTTACAAACTGTCTACGTGGAAAACTGGTTCACCTTTATGGAGACTCCACTATGAGACAGTGGTTTGATTATTTAGATAGAGTTCTCCCAGGTTAGATTAAGCCATTTCATATTCTACTTATATTAATATAGTCCAGTCAGTTTATGTGTTAAATTTTCAGTGCAGTCTTCTACACTCTATAATAATAATAATGCTTGCATTTTATATTGACCTTCATCACGTTGTTGAGATGTCTCAAAGCGCTTCACAGAATACACTGTAAAGTGAATTGACTGTATATTTTGTCAGCAAATATAACAACAACAAATTACATTTGTATCACGCCTATCTTGTTAGCAGGACGTCCCAATGTACTGGACAGTCAGGGATCCGCAACTGAGGTGGGTGGTTGGGATCAGGAGGGGTGGAGGGCGGGGAGGGAAGGGGCAGGAGGGTGATCGAAGGAAAGGTCGAGGAGGAGGGTCTAGAGCTGTGTTTTGAAAGAGGCAAGAGAGGGGGTGAAGCAGAGGGACTGTGGGATGGAGTTCCAGAGGTTGGGGGCAGAGAGGTTGAAGGCCCGACCACCAATGGGGGGACAGGGAAGGCGGGGGAGTGAGCAGTTTTTTTTGAGGATGGGCCTCTGTTTTTAGAGGCATGCGAACAGTGCCAGTGGTTAAGGAGAGGTTGATGATGTCAGTTAAGAGATGGGCGAGGAGGTGGAGCTGGGCGGTAAGGAGAGCAGCAGGACTAAGTTGCTACGGACGTGGTTGGTAAGAGACACGTTTGCCTTCCTGACAGTCTGTGGCAATGGCCGGTATTATTCCCACTCTCCGCACTGCGTCCTCCCAACTGCCGTCTCCTGCCACTGCCCTGGGAGGGCGTTTGCAAGAGAGTGGAAGTTGGAATGTTGAAAATGATCTCAAGCCGAATAAAATCTCCCACCGGGATGCTTGTGTCCCACACTGCTGTAGGTCATTGGTTCCCAAACTGGGGGCCACGTGATGGTTACAGGGAACCAGGAGACACACTGGGGGTGGCAGGAAACGCAAAGGCAACACCTGTCTTAAAGGTGAGCCGTTGGCTTGACTGACAGGTCCATTGGCCAATCAGGGGCAAGGACACATACCCTGCTCACGTCCTCTTCTGTCCACCATCTGTCCCACCTCTTCATATTTGATAATCTGTGCACAAATAATATAATTTAGTTGAAATAATATAATTAATTATGTTGTCTCTTGTTTTTAGGTCTTAGATTGTTTCAATTTGGCATTGTTCCAGCAAATGGTCCTTCCATTGGTGTGGATGCGGCAAACAGGATCATGGTGAAATATCGTTGCCATGGCCCACCAATTGGATACACTGATGTTTCAAGCCGGCAACTGCATTACATTGCAAATCAGCTGGATAACACTAAAGGAGGAAGGAGCACAGTTATAGCAATCACTATATGGGCCCATATGACATTTCTTCCAGTGGAAGCTTATATCCGAAGGCTGCAGAATATTCGGAGATCAATTGTAGAATTACTGAGCAGGAGTCCAGACACACACATTATATTCAAGACAGCCAATGTCCGAGATCTTAATCCAGTTCGGTACAGCCTTTTTTACAGTGATTGGTACAGTTTTCACCTAGATAAAGTGTTAAGAAAAATGTTTGAGGGCATCAACGTGGCATTTGTTGATGCATGGGAAATTAGTGCAGCACATTACGTGGCACACAATGTACACCCTCCGCCAATAATTGTGAAAAATGAAATAGACATGTTTCTTTCATACCTGTGTCCTTTATAACAAGTTGAACATTGTATTAGGGCTGGTGCAAGAAGTATTTTCGTAATCAGATCATGGGAATGTATAAGATTAAGAAAATACCTTGAGTTTCATCCAGCAAATCCCAAAGCAAAACAACAAAATCGTATACTTTATCTCTCTCAAATTCCTCAATTGATTATTTTTTCAAATATATTTCTTATGTTTCAAAACACTGATACAAATTGACCCTTCCCACTCCATTACCTCTGAAATACCTGTAATTTCCAGACCTTCCCAGTTACCACTATCATGTGGAGTCCTGTAGCTCAGTGGTTAGAGCACTCACTTTGCAAACGAGAGACCTGAGTTCAATTCCAGGCAGGGCGAAACCTTGGGCAAGTTTCCTTACTCCACACGCCTAATAATAATCCCTCCAAAAAAACCAAAACAATAATAAATTGGTCATTTTCAATCTACGACTGTTTGTCGGACATTGCTGTGCGCAATTGGCTGCCGCGTTCGCCCACAAATATACGGTCAATTCACTTTACAGTGTGTTCTGTGAAGCGCTTTGGGACGTCCTCCCGATGTGAAAAGCGCTATATCAAATGCAAGGATTATTATTGTTTATTATTATCCTTCAGATCTTTACTTTTATTCTTCAGACTCTTGGGGTATGTGTAAATGGTTAGGGAATCCTTTACTCCATTCCTTGATGGAATTTTTTGGTATAATTTTCATTCATTATATTTGTTGAAACTTTAAAGATGATTATTGTGGTCCAAAGTTTAATAAAGATAAATTGACCCTGAGATCTGTACGTAAGTATTTCAAACCATCATGTATTGTTTGGGGCGATTTTGTGGATATTGACAAGCTGGTATATTCTTGTGACACAATACGCAGGGTAAAGGACACACAGACAGTGGCTTTTGAAAGTAACCGATTAATGGCCAGATTCCAACAATTTGCTTAACAAATAATAATTTGGTCACTCAATCCAAACTTAGTGACCAAATTATTATTTGTTAAGCAAATGGACTGTTTGTGGGACATTGCTAATGCGTTTCGCCCAACAAAATATACAGTCAATTCACTTTACGGTATATTCTGTGAAGTGCTTTGAGACGTCTCGAAGACTTGAGAAGGTGCGACATCAACTGCAATTATTATTATATATTATTATAAACACTGGTCAGAGTGAGTGGCTTTGTGGTCCAGCCTTGGGTAGGGTTAATGTCACGAACTAGGCAGTTAGAGTTCATATCATATGCCAGACTGTGACTGCCTCTGCACATTTAAAAAATGATAATAATAATTACATTTAAAAAACGTGTTATCATGTTGTCGAAACTTCTTAAAATTCTTCACAGAATTTACTGTGAAGTGTGATGACTGTGTACAAGAAATTCCTGATGAACTCCTGACGCCACTCCATGGGAAAAGGACTCATGGACGACTTATTCAGCGTTAGGCATATGTACAGTGCGATCAAAAAGTCGTGATAACTACCCTATTATCTAGAAATATCATTATTTCTTTAAGAGTTATTAGGCATTGAAATGATATCACGATTTTTTGGTCAAGGTGTATAAACACATACATAAATAAATCAATTAATTAATTGATAAATAAATTGTGTGTGTGTGTATGTGACATGGAGTCCTGTAGCTCAGTGGTTAGAGCACTCGCTTTGCAAGTGAGAGACCTGAGTTCAATTCCAGGCAGAGGGCGAAACCTTGGGCAAGTTTCCTTACTCCACACAGAGCCTAATAATAATCCCTCCAAAACCAAAACCAATAATAAATTGGTCATTTTCAATCTACGACTGTTTGTGGGACATTGCTGTGCGCAATTGGCTGCCACGTTCGCCCACAAATATACAGTCAATTCACTTTACAGTGTGTTCTGTGAAGCGCTTTGGGACGTCCTCCCGACGTGAAAGACGCTATATCAAATGCAAGGATTATTATTATTATTATTATTATGTCAGGATATTGAATGCACGATGACTTAAGGAGAAGTGACAAGTTAAAGCCAGTGTCGAGTAATCAGGAGTTTAATGTATTCACTAGCCAAATGTAGCAGCCGATTTGTGCAGCTTTTTGTTTTTGAAAATATACGCTTATTTATAAATATATTTTGTACAACAGAAATCCCAAACAAACACAACGTACAACATCATCTGTTGCAATTCTTTTCCCTTTCTCCGACAACAAAAAACACTCAGTTGTTCACGGTACATTCCTTCACTGCACACGGAGGTTGTGCGCACATTTTTTGAGACGCTCCCTTTAAAACAGTTAGCAGTCGCCCTTGTGTGCACCACGTCTGTGCGAGCGCACCGCACTCAACCCCGAGAAGGTGTCCCGATGTGCACGGCAATGTCCAACAAGCTGCCTTGAAGTGCATGACCAATTGTAACTGGAAGATTGCTGGCTAGGACACTGCGAGAAACTCCCTTCTCTTTTCAAATAGTGCCGGGGGGGGAAATTTGACATCAATTCAACACAATGCAAATTTACATTCATAACACCCCTTTCGCATCATTAGGACATCCACCCGAACAACAGGCAGAGAGGCCTCCGACAATGCAGCACGCCCTCTCCAGCATTACACTGTCATGCCTCGCCGAGACCGTGAGCTCTTAAGCCTCAACGTGGGTCCTCGAGCCCACGAACCTTCTGGCTCAGCGGCGAGAGCTTACAACGACCGTTTCTACCCGGCACTTCGGTACAGCAACCGTCTTTCCAACCGCATAAATAATAAAAACAATAATAATCCTTGCATTCGACATCGCGCCTCAGTACACCTTTGAGAAAATTAATAATAATATTAATCATCATTCTTTTAATAAAAGCAAACTGGCTGCAGAGAGAGAGAGAGGGAGAGAGGGGGAGAGAGAGAGAGAGAGAGAAGGAAAGGCTGCTGCAGAGGCTGAGTGTGGTGCTCACTGGTTGGGTGCAGCTCATGTCATTCACTGTAATGAACCATTTGCTCTGTGGCTGGAAAATTGGGGGTGGGAGGGGGGGGGCTCCTGCCTGTCAATCATGTGGGAGAGACGGCCAGGTCAGAGCTTGTGGCTGGAGAGGATGTGAACATAGAGGAGTGGAATGTCCCAGTGCCTATTGCAAGGCTGTCATTAACCAAAGCCACTCACACCCCAACCCGATAAGGACAAGAGGAGGAGGTGCAGGAGGTGGAAGAAGAGGAGGTGGAGGAGCTGCTGGTGCAGGAGGTGGAAGTGGAGGAGCTGCTGGTGCAGGAGGAGGAGGTGGTGGTGGTGGAGGAGCTGCTGGTGCAGGAGGTGGAGGTGGTGGTGGAGGAGCTGCAGGAGGAGGAGGTGGTGGTGGTGGAGGAGCTGCTGGTGCAGGAGGTGGAGGTGGTGGTGGAGGAGCTGCAGGAGGAGGAGGAGGAGGTGGTGGAGGAGCTGCTGGTGCAGGAGGAGGAGGTGGTGGTGGTGGAGGAGCTGCTGGTGCAGGAGGTGGAGGTGGTGGTGGAGCTGCTGGAGGAGGAGGTGGTGGAGGCTATGGTTTTGTTGCTGGAATAAAGGAGGAAGCCAAGACGCCTTTCACACCAGAGGGGGTAAGGATTGTCCAGGCCACAAAGTATTAAATAATAGTTGAAATTGTGTGTGTGTGTGTGTATATATATATATTTATATATTTATTATCAGCAAAAACAGTTAAAGGAACGGATTTCACCTGTTATATAATATATATTTTTTGCTAGGGAGTTTATTTTTTCCAGATAGGAGGTCTCGATTGATTGATTGATTCATTCATTCATTCATTCATTCATTCATTCATACATACATACAGATGTATGTGCAAGATTGACATTGACCTCTTCTAGATTAGATAATACCACAGAAGAGTCGTGGGGAGAACATGGCCAGTTGTGGTGGTGGTTGTCGTCGTCATCGTCGTCGTCGTCGTTGTTGTTGTTGTTGAAAAGAATGTATGTGGCTTCGTAGAAGATTTCAGGTCTGTAGGGCACTGCTGATGACAGCCCAGCCAAACCGGCTGACTGGTAGGACTTGGAGGGGTAGACCAGTCCCTGGGGGTAGGGATTCTTCCCCCCCCCAACCCGTTAAAACTTACAAGCCTAACGGGTAGGAAGAGTCCCAGCTAGACGAGCAGCGGGAAAGCTTGCCAGACAGTGCTTTCAGTGGCAAGCTATGTGGGTTTAGCTGGTTGAGCTCCCAGCAGTGGCACAGCACACATCCTGGGGTGACCAAGCCTTGGTTCTTACCAGTCTGTGTCTAATACTCTTTGGAATTAGGTAAGCAGCATGTGCCCTCCAGGGAGAGTGCGCATTTCATTCCACTACACTCTCAACAACAAAAACAACAAATTGCATTTATATAGTGCCTTTCACATCGCGGAGGCCGTCCCAAGGCGCTGCATAGTCAAGGGTTTGCACCCAAGCCGAGATTTGGAATCAAGGGGTGGAGGGCAAGGGGGATGGAGGAGGGAGAACGACCAAAGCCATGGTCAAAGAGGAAGGGACTTGAAGGAGGCAGGGGAGGGACGAGGCGAAGGGACTCTGGGATGGAGTTCCAGAGGGTGGTGGCAAGGCCTGACTGCCAACAGGGGGAGCAGGCAGGTTGGTAACGTTTTAGTAGGTCGCAGAAGCAGGGAGGAGCAAGACCAGGGAGGGCTTTAAAAGTAAGGAGGATCGTAAAGGAGGCAGTGGGGCAGGTGACTAGAGCAAGTATGTCAAGAATAACTCAGGGAGTTGTACTGGAGAGTGATCGAGGAGCTAAGGTCGATACAGGTGGAGGCTCAAAGGGGGTAAGAGTTCAGATGATTCTAGGGCGGCAGAGGGGGAGAGGGGCTGAATTTTTTCCAGGGCTGGGAGGAGATAGAATAATAATAATAAAAGCAATCTTCCAGTTACAATTGGTCATGCACTTCAAGGCAGCTTGTTGGACATTGCCGTGCACATCGGGACACCTTCTCGGGGTTGAGTGCGGTGCGCTCGCACAGACGTGGTGCACACAAGGGCGACTGCTAACTGTTTTAAAGGGAGCGTCTCAAAAAAATGTGCGCACAACCTCCGTGTGCAGTGAAGGAATGTACCGTGAACAACGGAGTGTTTTTTGTTGTCGGAGAAAGGGAAAAGAATTGCAACAGATGATGTTGTACGTTGTGTTTGTTTGGGATTTCTGTTGTACAAAATATATTTATAAATAAGCGTATATTCTCAAAAACAAAAAGGTGCACAAATCGGCTGCTACATTTGGCTAGTGAATACATTAAACTCCTGATTACTCGACACTGGCTTTATCTTGTCACTTCTCCTTAAGTCATCATGCATTCAATATCCTGACATAATAATAATAATTATAATAATAATAATAATCCTTGCATTTGATATAGCGCTTTTCACGTCGGGAGGACGTCCCAAAGCGCTTCACAGAACACACTGTAAAGTGAATTGACTGTATATTTGTGGGCGAACGCGGCAGCCAATTGCGCACAGCAATGTCCCACAAACAGTCGTAGATTGAAAATGACCAATTTAATTATTGTTTTTAGTTTTGGAGGGATTATTATTAGGCGTGTGGAGTAAGGAAACTTGCCCAAGGTTTCGCCCTCTGACTGGAATTGAACTCAGGTCTCTCACTTGCAAAGCGAGTGCTCTAACCACTGAGCTACAGGACTCCACAGAAGTGGGTTGGGTGGCAGGGAGTGGGATGGAGGAATTAAGAGAGATTTAAATAATAGTCTGAGATGGAATTGTCATTCATGGTGATATTTTAGTCGGTGAGGCCCTGGGTAATGATCAGGCCGACGTGAGTGGCAGAGTTAATGTGGAGGGAGAGGCTCTGAAACGAGAGGGAGCAGTCAGCAGCTGTGGATCAAGAAGGGGTGAAGTGAAGGTCTAATTTGCCTAAGATAAGTCGGCATTTAGAGCAGAGGGTGGGGTTGTCAGAAAAGGAAGTGCAGGAAGGTTTAGGGCGACGATAACTGAGAAGAATTTTAAGGGAAACATTGGAGAAGTGATAAACAGTAAGGTGCTAGGAACTCTCTGAGTTTGGTTGCTGTTGAGCATTCTGATGGGATATGACAGAATATGACAACCATTCTTTCAGTTACTGGCAAATGCAGATAAGAGGAATAATAATAATGATACTTGCATTCAATATATCGCCTTACCACATTTTCAGACATCTCAACGTGCTTCACAGAATATGCTGTAAAGTGAATGAACTGTATATTTTGTGGACAAAATGTGGCAGTCAATTGCGCACAGCAGAGTCCCACAAACAGTCGATGAAGCGATCAATTTATTACTATTTATTTTCTGAAGGAATTATTACCCCCAGAAAAGTGATCCACAAATCGACTAACAACTGGGTTCCTACTTACTGCTAGGTGAACAGAGGCGTGAAACTTGCCCAACGTTTTGCCCTGCTGGGAATCGAACCCAGTTCTCTTGCGAGGCGAGTGCTCTAACCACTGAGCTACAGGACTCCACTGTATGTGGAATGTGTTTCCTAAATAGTTGGATGATTTGGTCTTTCTAGAATTTCAGTGCTAACTGGCCAATTGTTTTTGTGCAAATTAGCGTCATAACATTTCACATTAAATCCTGTAATGTTGTTATTCTTATAATTATTATTACTGGATTAATGATCTTAAATTTAAATGTATCACTTTGGGGCAGATGCTCTCCTGATGTGAAAAGCAGTATATCAAATTCAAGGATTATTATTATATTTGTTTGAATTTATAATGTTCCGAGCTAACTTTAGGGCCTGATCCAAAAGAAGGTTGCCAACCTGAGTAATTTTTTTCATCTAAAATTACTTACAATGGCTCAACCAGTCACTGAATAAACTTCTTACACAATCGGAGCTTGTTAGGGTATGCTATGGTACCCTGATGGAAATAAGCTTATTGCCCTTTAAAGGTTTATTTGCTGATATATTCGTGGAGTCCTGTAGCTCAGTGGTTATAGCACTCGCTTTGCAAGCAAGAAACCTGAGTTCAATTCCAGGCAGAGGGCGAAACCTTGGGCAAGTTTCCTTACTCCACACAGAGCCTAAGAATAATCCCTCCAAAAACCAAAAACAATAATAAATTGGTCATTTTCAATCCACGACTGTTTGTGGGACATTGCTGTGCACAATTGGCTGCCGCGTTTGCCCACAAATATACAGTCAATTCACTTTGCAGTGTCTTCTGTGAAGCGCTTTGGGACGTCCTCCCGACGTGAAAAGCGCTATATCAAATGCAAGGATTGTTATATATTATTATTATAACTAACATGTCAAACCGTATGCAAGCTGTAATGACCAATGATTTATTTCTTGCTTAATTCTCTTTATTTAATTTTGTTGAAGAAGCAGGATGTGCTGACCAGGCTGATTACAGTACTTGTGTTCTCTGAGCTCTCAGTATGAATGAACAAGACACAAAAGCATCTCTACCTTTCTCCATTCCCCGGTTTCTTTTCTTACTAATGGTGCTCATCACATTGCTGATCCTAATTACGAATATTCATCGTTCAGAGGTATGTGGAAAACCAGCTTCCAAATTAAGTCTGAATTTAGGAATTTTTTTATTATTTATTATCTCGCACCATTCAGCGTACTTAAGTCTTCAATTTTAAACTGAGTCCAGCATCCCGGTCCTAAATACTCTTCCTCCTTCCTAGCAAGCTGTTTCAGTCGTTTATTACACTTATTAAAGAAAAACTCTGACCTGAAATTTCCCTTTCCAACCCTAAACCTGCGTCATCTTGTTGATCTGTTTTGCTTCATCGTGAAGTATTGTTCTGGGTTTACTTTTTAATCCCATTTTTTATTTTGTATCCTCCCTGAATCTTTGTTCAAGACTGAAAAGTTGCTCTCCTTTGTACTGGCTCTAGGCCAGTGGTTCTCAAATATATGTGGAGCCACCGACTCTTACTTGTGGCTACATGCACTCCCTCATTAGATATTAAACTAAAGTTCTGTCTGTTTAAGTGGAACTTATCCAAAAAGAGGAGTTTCTCCTGGTACTTCCTTGTACACCAGTCTCAAAAAGTTAGTTGCAGGTGCAGCAAGCAACTAAGAAGGCGAACGGCATGTTAGCGTTCATTGCAAAAGGTTTAGAGTGCAAGAGTAGGGAAGTCTTGCTGCAACTGTATAGGGCCTTGGTGAGACCGCACCTAGAGTATTGTGTGCAGTTTCGGTCTCCTTATTTAAAAAAGGACATACTTGCCCTTGAGGGGGTGCAGCGTAGATTCACTCAGTTAGTTCCTGGGATGATGGGACTGACCTATGAGGATAGGCTGAATAAACTAGGGCTATATTCTCTAGAGTACAGAAGAATTAGGGGAGATCTTATTGAAACATGTAAAATTCTTAAAGGGCTGGATAAAGTAGACACTGAGGGTCTGTTTCCCCTGGTAGGAGAATCTATAACCAGGGGTCACAGTCTTAAAATTAATGGTCAGCCTTTTTGAACAGAGTTGAGGAAACATTTCTTCACTCAGAGTGTAGTGAATTTATGGAATTCACTATCCCAGAAGGCTGTAGATGCTCAGTCCTTGAACATCTTCAAGGCTGAGACTGACAGATTTTTTAAAAATAGAGGGATTAGGGGATATGGGGATAGGGCAGGTAATTAGGTCAGAAGATCAGCCATGATCTTATCAAATGGCGGGGCAGGCTAGAGGGGCTGAATAGCCTACTCCTGCTCCTAATTCTTATGTTCTTATGTATCCTGGTCAAAAATCCCACAAATAAAAAACTAATTGAACCTAAGCATCAACTTCAATCTCAAGCTATTGTTCCTAGGCCACATTCTAGTCCCCAACCAGAACTGGTTTCCTCCTCTGACCTTACCTCACACACAATGCAGCTGCACTCTTATTACGTATGTGTTCCTTTCTGCCAAATACCCGCTCTTTAGTTTGAATATGAGATCAGCAGTAGAATTAAATTCCATTGAAGCCTAACACAAAGGATGCAGCCAGTAAATAGGAACCCAATAACAAAGAAAGCAAAGTAACTTGTTTATGTGCAAAGCTCAATTACTTACTGAAGCAAAAAAACAGTAAAACTCGCATAAGTCTTATTTTTATTAATCGTATGATACCCTAAGTCATACATTAGTAATAATAATCCTTGCATTTGATTAACTCAAACAATACTTATCATGTCGTTGAGACGTCTCAAAGCGTTTCACAGAATATACCGTAAAGTAAATTGTGGACGAATTACGGCATCCAATTGGACTCAGCAGTGTTCCATAAACAATCATGGATTGAGTGACCAAATTATTATAGGATCTACGACTCAAATGCGAGGACTTATTATTTACTTTGTCATAGATTAGAGAAATTTAAATCTCTGTGTTAGTGTGTGACTTGAGACTGCTTCTTAAACCCAGAAAAGTGAGTTTAATATTTATTGAACAATGTGTTTTCTTACAGTGCAATTATTATTCGTGCTCTGGACCAGCATCAAATTGGAAGAATTTCTCAGATCCAAAATTATATCCATCAAACAATCAGCAGATGGTGATGAATAACTTTCCATGGTTGGTCAAACTGATAAACTGTGGGTACAGGAATGAAAGCTTTACAGCTGTGGAAAGAACTGAGGGAATGTTTCTGTTGAAAATGATTGAATGGCCAAACTCACCTGGAACTCGCACACCCGTACTGAAAAGCACTGACCCGTCACATTCTCACTTTCTTATTTTAAACTCTCAGAACACTTTCCACGTTGGGGATCAGTTACAGGTGATGGTCCACATGTATGATTTTTCAGGACACCCAAAGCAATACGGAGGTGACTATCTCCAGGCCCGGATCCACACCCCAGAGCTCAAAGCGGGTTCAGTGGGAACAGTTGTCGATTATCTAAATGGATCGTACAAGATCAATTTTACTTTATTCTGGTCGGGGAAAGTTAAGGTGTCCGTAAGCTTGGTTCATCCCAGTGAAGCGATTCAAGTGCTCAAAAGGATACGTGATGAACGGCCAGATAAGGTGTACTTCCAGAGTAAGTTCAGATCCGGGACAACCACAGAGAAAACTCAGTGCAATCTTTGTTTGCCTGATGATTTGCCTATCTGTAACTTTACTGATCTCAAGACTGGGGAACCTTGGTTCTGTTATAAACCAAAGAAGCTGCCCTGCTCTGCTCGTGTCAACCATGCTAGAGGAGGCTACCAGAATGGTCTCTTAATGACAGAAGAGAGTCGTTTTTTCCAAAGGTATGCTGCTTTACATTCTCTTATATATTTCCTCTCTTCTTTTCCCCCGCGGCCCCTCCAGCCCCACCCCCCCTCCCTCCCAACCCCCTTTTCTTATCTATCCAATCCAAACTGGGTTACATGTACGAAGCACATTAAATTTACAATTGGCCTCAGCATTCCTTCGACATGTGAGTGGAAATATTGGTTGTGTCCCTGTTCCAAATGATCATGTAGGAACATCTGCTGGAAAGTGTGCAAGGAAATAAAATTGAGTGAGGATTACAGTGCGCCTGGTTAGAGTAGTTCTAGGGTCTACTTGGAAGAGGTACTGAAGATTGACCTGCACTTGTCAAACCTTTCACATCATGAATGAATGTCTTCAGGAAAGAATATGGGAGAGTGACATTTTTTTTAAAAAAAACTAAACATGAGAATAGAGCATTCACACTATTGCCTCTGGACCATGAAGATTTTATTTTGTAAGACTTAATTTAAGTGAAAATATGCATAATGTGTTTGTGTACAGCACATCCCTGTTATAACGCTGTTGTGTGGCTCCATCAACTAAAGTTGGTTAATACAAACAAAAAGGCTGACTTGAAGAGCATCATTGTCACTGCTGACATAATTTCCTTTGTAAAGTGACACCATTAGCACTTCCAATAGTGCCAATATGTGCAGCAAGGACCTCAACAACATTTCCTGCACATAATAATGATCCTTGTATTTTATATCGCACCTGGAGGGTGGACAAAAGTGCTTCGCAGGATTTTACTGTGAAGTGTAATTATTGAATGTGTATTTTGTAGGTGACCGCAGCAAAGTTCCACAAAGAGCTATGAATTGAACAGCCAATTTTATTTTTTTATTTTATCGCATTGCACTCGATGCACAGGAAGGGACAACAACAGAGACCTGATAACTCAGGGGGGTATTGTTTTTAATGTCGGTGTACCGGGTAAACTGCAGGTTCACAATTCACTCCCATTATAAGCAGACCTGGGGCACCTTATAAGGGGATCACCCTGTATAAGGTGGTACTCCAAAAACATCACATTCAAATTCCTCCACAATCTTGCCTCACCCGACCTCCTACAACTATAACTGTAACTCTAGGGTTCCAGCTGCTTCTTTCACTTTCACTTAGTGAATTCGGGCCTCCACCATGTCCCCTGGGCCACTATCAGCATCTGGCTTTCAGCCATTCTGTCACCATTCTCCATTCAGGACTCACCACTCCATCTCGCCCCTACCTACTTTCAAAGCCCACCTCAAGACTTACTTCTTTGACCACTGTTTTGGTCAACTCTTCCTCCCCCCCCACCCTCTTGAGCTCTGACTCCCTAACTCACTAGCTATGAGAGATGTAAAGTACTTTGAGAGATCCATCCATCCAAAAGGTATCTATGTAAATTACATTATTATTAATACCTCTACTAATAATAATGCTTACATTTGATATAGCGCCTTTCACGTTGGGAAGCTGTTCCAAAGCACTTCACAGGATATTTTGTAAAGTGGAGTGACTCTACTTTATATAATATAGGTGTTTTATAGGTGAATGTAGCAGCCAATTTGTCGCAGCAGTGCGCCACAAAAAGTCACAGAGTGACTGGCCAATTTCATGTATTATTTACCCTTGCCTCAGTTACGAAGGCTGTGATGTAAGCAATTGCTTCCTCAGTGTTGCTTGGAGCCATTGCAGCCTGTTGGACTCCTGCCGCTTTGACGGAAAGCTGCCCATTTTGAAAGCCATTGTTCCTTCTAATTGGGGAAAAGTGCTGTGATTTTGAGCACTGGCCAATTTTTCTTGGATGATCAGCATTCAGATTCTGCAGGTGTCAACTTTCCTCAAGGAAATTAGCTCTGCCTGATCTGCGAGTGCCATGGTATTTGTAACAATTGCTTAAGAGAAAGCTCTGCCAGAAGCTCAATCATTATGGGGAAATTTGGTTGTGACTGCGTAGTATACAAGTGAATCGCAACAGGAGATCTTTTTGGCGGGTGCTCATGCCAAGGAGTGGCTGATAAGCACAGAGACTACATTGCATCTTAGCCAAATGGCTGAGAAGTGATCCCAAACACCCGAGATTATGACGTATGTGTTTGGCTTATAGCAGTTGCTCTCTCAGTCAGTGTGTAATCCTGGGATTCCTTTCAGCTCCCAAATGTCTGTCATACCGCACAGCTGTCCTTCAATTTCCAGAATATTATCCATTTATACTCTTCCTTCAACTCCAGTGAACATATAGGAACATCGGAACAGGAGTAGGCCATTCAGTCCCTCTAGCCTCTGTATAATTATAATACATGTATTCACCGTTACTGAAATCCTCATTCATGTCCTTGTCATCTTCAGATACACTTCCCTGGCCTCCCTAGCTCCACCCTCTATAAATTCTAATCCATCCAAAAATCTCTCTTCTCTCCCTCCCTAAGCTTCTCACACCTACTATTCCCATCTCTGCAAATTTAACTGGTCCAAATACCCAAGTGGATAACTCTTAAGATCACTATCCTTTCTTTCAAATCCCTTCTCTGCCTTTCCCCTCTTTATCTACACAAACACTTCTAGCCCTATTTTCCTGCCTGTGCATGATAATTGGCTGGATAAAGATGGACTTGTTACTGCAGCTGATCAAGGAGAACTTGGGAATTGCTAACACTGGCTTTTTAAGGATGAGCTATTAAAGATGCGTGTTTGACTCGCATTGATTGAGCTTTAAATGCTCTTGAGGAATGGAAAAGACTGCATATGGTAGACATTTTGTTGCGTGATCTATACATTCTTTACACTGAAACAATATAGTAGCATAATTGACAATATATGGTCACATTTTCAGCAAAGTCAACCTCCAGAAGCCCATATTACCCAGTGGTCCAGATTATGTAACTGTAGAGGCTTCGTCTCGAGCAGGTAAGAAAATTGCATACTTTGGTAACGAAGGACAGCCAGATGTTTGATGTTAATCAAAAATGTTATATATATGTATATGTATATATATGTGTATATGTATATATATGTATATATATATATATATATATGTATATGTGTGTGTGTGTATATATATATATATGTGTGTATATATATATATATGTCAAGGCCCCCAAAATAACTCAACCCAGTCAAACATGAAATGAATAGTATTTAGCCTCATTGTTACACTCAGATATAGATATGACCAACCGCTTTCAAATTCCTTTAAGTGTGAAGCCAGTTGTGTATGAATTCCAAGAGACTGGGAACAAGAGGTTATTCGTGTCAGTTGATATACTCATTTCAATAATCCTTGCATTTGATATAGTGCCTTATCACATCATTGAGACGTCTGAAAGCGCTTCACAGAATATATTGTAGGGTGTATTGACTGTGTATTTTGTGGGTGAAACGGGGCAGCCAATTATCCACAGCAGTCTCCCACAAAAAGTCATGAATTGAGTGACCCATTTTTTTTGAGAGAGATTATTACCCCCGGAAAGCGATCCAACAATCGACTAACAACCTGGTTCCTACTTACTGGTAGGTAAACAGGTATGTGGAGTAAGGAAATTTGCCTCAGGTTTTCGCCTGCACGGGAATCGAACCCGGGGGCTCCTGGCTTGCGAGGCAAGTGCTCCAACCACTATGCTATGGGACTCCATGATTGATGTTAAGGATCTTGAGAACATCTGGGCATCTCTCAAGAATCTTGTGATACAAACCATCATTTCTTCCATGTTGCCTGTTATTGTGTTCCACCTTGCCTCAAGCTGCTCACTTCAGGCGAAGTTTGAGGCTGAGTGCCGTCATTGAAAGGTCCGTCTTTCCTTGGTTGTTGGAGAAATTACCATTGTGTTCATCATTAGGAATTGGCTCAGGTCACCAGGTTGGGAGAAACAAAACACTCTTCTGATCCTCATGATATCATCTAGGGTTTGGGACCCATTTGATGTGGTTCTACAGACCACAGCATGCACGGATAAGAGTTTGGATGTCTGGGATCAAACTGTAGCCATTAACAGCTAGGTTCCTCCAAACATCTTGAAGGACAGTGTTGACTTGCTAAAAGTTCCAAATTTCCCAATTATTCTTCCATGGAAGAAGTTCACCAAATGCAAATATGTGACAACTTGCATTTATATTGCACCTTCACATACGGCTGTGTCTTGAAGTGCCTATAAATAGTGTAATTTGATGCTGAACCATGAAGGTGAGAAAAGTCTTCAAGTGCAAATTGAAGACAGGTAAACGGAAGATGACCATAGATGTGGTCAAAAAGGAAAGTCTTCAGGTGCAATCTGAAGACAGGCAAAGAGGGAACAAGTTGGAGGAATTGAGACAAGCAGTTTAGATATTTAAAATAACATTCACAACATGCTGCACATAGTTTTGGGCTCATACTGTGTTTTGACCATGACATGAACAATTGAAGCTCAGCCCTACCCGAACTGTCAATGTAATTTGAATTAATTTGGGTACAATGGAGAGAGAAATGCATCCACCCATCTTCAGAAACATGTCACCAGTCATTCTAGCAGGAACAACAACTTGCACTTCGAGAGCTCTTTTTATGAAGCATACTTTCTCAAAGCATGCATGCATGCATGGATCAATACAGCGCCCGTCACACAGGGTAGCATACGGCAGCGCTTCACAGTGGTGGAGTCTGACAACGAGCCAAGGAGAGACCGAGAGTGGAAGGTGACCGTAAGCATGATCAAAAGGGAAGGTCTTCAAGCGGGATTTGAAGGGGAGGAGTGAGGGAGCAAAGTGGAGGGATTGAAGGAGAGTGTTCCAGAGTTTCGGGGCATAGCAGCTGAAGGCACGGCCACCGATGGTGGAACAGAGGGCACGAGAGACCCAACAGGAAGCCGGAGCCAACTGTGCGGAGGCAGTGGATGGTGGAGTTGGGGGTAAGCAGGTCAGATAGGTAGGTAGGTGTGAGGCAATTAAGTGAGAGGATCTTGAAATTGATCCTTTCGGTGATTGTAATGCTTTGTAATTGCTCACTTAACAGTGGTGGAGCCTGATGCCGAGCAGTGGGGGGGGGGAGGAAATGACCATAAGCTCGGTCAAAGAGGAAGATCTTCAATAATAATCTAAAATAGGAGAAGGGGGCAAAGCAGAGGGAATGGGGCAGAAGCCTTCTTCATTTGAACTAATCTTATGATCCCACGAAAATTAACTATACCCATTAACACCGACAGAACAGGTGCACATAGTTGTTTGTAATGTTTTTCTATGGTTGCATAGCTCTATTTTCTACATTATCTACTGAAGGCCCCCTCTGTGGGTTGTCATTTCCATGGAAATTCATAAATCAGTCGAAAAATGCATGAATAACAATAATATCTAAGATACTGTGCATCATTTTTTGTTTATTTACAGCCCCGCTTCTCTTTTTATTTCAGGTGCAAGTCTCGGACAGTGTGTCCGTGGGATGTCTCTGACTTCACCGTCAGGTTTTTACTATAAGGACCAGTGGATGTTGACACAATGTAATATTCGCCGCTTCAACACTCCTACAAGCATTATAGACTGTCTACAGGGAAAAGTGGTTCATCTTTTGGGAGATTCTACTATACGACAGTGGTTTGAATATTTGGATGAATTTCTACCGGGTAAGCTACAGGCGTTTCAACCCACATTGAACATTTCAGAACTTTCATCCATTCTGTTTTTTTTAAAAGCAGATCCCAACTTAGAACCAGACCTTTATTGTCTGTTAGGAGTTGATGCTTTCATGGCCCTATTAGAAGCTGTCCTTGACTGAGCACGGATTTATTTAGTTTACTGTGGACCCATGCAGACTGGAAGCCCGCTTCTGGTGCTATCTAGTGAGATTTCCGGGTTAACAGGTTGCTGCTCACATCCCAGGAAGAGTTAGAAGGTTGTGGGTTCAAACGCCACATTTTGAGTCTTGTAGCTCAGTGGTTAGAGCACTCACCTCGCAAGCGAGAGGACCTGCGTTTGATTCCCGGACCGGGCGAAAGATTAGGCAGGTTTCCTTACTCCACATGCCTCCGTTCACCGAGCAGTAAATAGGAACACAGTTGTAAGTCGATTCGTGAATTGCTTTTCTGGGGGTAATAATCCCTTTTTAAAAAAAAATGTAAAAATATTTTGTTGCCTGTTTGTGGGACACCGCTGTGCGGAATTGACTGCTGCATTTCACCCACAAAAAATAGTCCATTAACTTTACAGTATATTCTGTGCTTCAATTTGAGATGTCTCAACGTGATAAGAAGCTGTATCAAAGGCAAGGATTATTATTATTATTAGGACGTAGGTCTAAGCCGACACTTCAGTGTAACACTGGAAGAATGCTGCATTGATGGAGGTGCTATCATTCATTAAATCAAGATCCTGTCTGCCTCTTCAGGTGGACATTTTCACTGACCCAAGTTTTACGGAATCTTGCTGAACCCACATTTTCTGCTGTGTTTGCCTGCAAATATACAGTTCATTGATATGACAGAAATTGCTTTTGAAGCACTTTGAGACATCTCAATGTTATAGGCACCATATTAAATGGAAGATTTTTTTTAAAATCTAAGCTTTTCACCTTTTCTTTCATTTGTTACAGTAGTGTAATATTTCAACCAAATTGTTGACTTTCATGTACAAAAAGTACAGTTTGATATGATTAATAATCTTACCTCTTTGGTTTTAGATCTTACAAAGTTTGATTTTGGCGAAACTAAAAAAAATGGTCCTTATACTGCTGTGGATATAGCGAACAAGATCATGGTGAAATATCGATGCCATGGTCCACCAATTGAATTCTCTGATGTTTCAAGTCAACATCTGCATTACATCGCAAATGAGCTGGATGAAATTAGAGGAGGAAAGAACTCAGTTATAGCAATCACCATCTGGGCACATTTCAGCACTTTTCCGGTGGAAGTTTACATACGAAGACTACAGAATATTCGGAGATCAATTGTACAATTACTGAACAGAAGTCCGGATACACAAATTATAATGAAGACAGCCAATGTACGCGCCCTCAAACCCGAGCACAGCATCTTCCACAACGACTGGAATTGCTTTCAGCTTGATTCAGTGTTGAAAAAAATGTTCAAGGACATCAATGTAGCATTTGTGGATGCCTGGGAGATGACTATAGCACATTACCTGCCACATGACATACACCCAAAGCCAATCATTATAAAGAATGAAATAGATGTATTTCTTTCATATTTGTGTCCTTTTAAAAATGCATAAAACATTTTATTACATTATTTCCAAACATTTTTTTGTAAGACTTGCTATGACAAATGAAGAAATTGTCTTACGTATATTTTTATTGTAGGTATAGAATGTTACTGAAAGTACCAGGTATAATCCTCTAAGATTTATTTTGAACAATATGCGTGTACGTGCCTTGCGTCTAGGTCATAGCCTGGTCACAAAAGTCAAACCATCAAATGGTGATTCAGGTTCTGTGCAAAGATTCAGTTGTATTTGTCTGCAATCTAGCCAGGTTAAAATCAACAATAATCCTTGTATTTAACAATCATCAATCTTGAGTTCAATTCCTGGGCAGGCCGAAACCTTAGACGAGTTTCCTTACTCCACACACAAGCCTCTGTTTACCTAGCAGTTAGTAGGAACCCGGTTGTTAGTCGATTAGCGGATCGCTTTTCGGGGGTTAATCCTCAAAAACAATGAATCCACTCAATGTTTGTGGGACACTGCAGTGCGCAATTGGCTGCTGCGTTTCACCCACAAAATACACAGTCACTACACTTTACAGTATATTCTGTGAAGTGCTTTGAGATGTCGAAAATGTGATAAGGTCCTATATCAAATGCAAGGATTATTACATTTAACATCATGTCTTATCTCAAAGAAAGTCATTTTTCTACAAAATGTAGTGACTGTATTTAGCAAATTCCAAAGATAAAAGGGTAAACCGGCAAACTCACACTCCAGAGTTCAACAGTTTCAACCCAAGCCTCAGTCTCAATAAACTTCTACTTTTAATGTTGTATCATTCAGAGATACTACAACAACTACAACTTGCCTTTATGTCATGACGGACAACGCCTCAGACCACAAGTGTAGGTAATCTCACCACATAATACCAACCCTATGTAACTGGCCACAGGGTGAGGCCACAGATTATATAGTGCCTTTCACGTTGGGATGTCCCAAGGCAGGCTGGACAAGTTGAGGGGCTTGCACACGAACTGCGGGTTGGTATCGGAGAGGGGTGGAGAACAAGGGTGGAGGAGGGAAGATGACCGATGGCATAGTTGAAAAGGAAAGTCTTGAGATGGCCTTGAAGAAGGTGGGCAATGTTGCAGAGGTAGGGGAAGGTGGAATGGGTAATGCCACGGATGTGGGCCTTAAAAGATAGTTGAGAGTCATCAAGGTTCTGTACCAGTGAGGTGGAGAGTGCATCTGAACAGTGATGCTGTCAGCACCTGAGGTGAGGAGGCGCTGACGGGAGTCAATCAGGAAAGCTTCAGTCTTATTGACATTCAACTGTAGGAAATGGGACTCTTGTCCAGGACTTGATGTCCGACAACAGATTACAACGTGTTATTAAATTACAGTGCCTGTGGCTGCAAAGGAGTAAAACATGTTTTATTAAACCACAAGGCCACTGTGTAGCTTCAATAGAGTACAGTATATTATTGCATTTCAGCGTTATCCTGGGTTGCAATGGAGTATAACGTGCTTAAATTGAAAGACTTGGCATTATCTGTTCCAGGCCTTTCTAACAGGGTTGTGGCGCATCTGTTTGTGGATGATATTGTGCTGCTGGTGGACTCGCCTGGAGACCTTCTGCATTGCACCCGGCATCTTGAACACTGAGCCAATCGATGGGACATGGTGGTGGGCACCACCAAGTGCAGGATCATGGTACTGCACGGCCCAAGGGAAGCCATCGAGGGAATTGATTGGAAGGTACATGGGGAATCATCCCCAATTGTTGACTGGTCGGTACCTCAGGATTGTGATGGACACCATGGGTGCTGACAGCATGTGGAGTCCTGTAGCTCAGTGTTAGAGCACTCGCTTTGCAAGTGAGAGACCTGAGTTCAATTCCAGGCAGAGGGCGAAACCTTGGGCAAGTTTCCTTACTCCACACAGAGCCTAATAATAATCCCTCCAAAACCAAAAACAATAATAAATTGGTCATTTTCAATCTACGACTGTTTGTGGGACATTGCTGTGCGCAATTGGCTGCCGCGTTCGCCCACAAATATACAGTCAATTCACTTTACAGTGTGTTCTGTGAAGCGCTTTGGGACGTCCTCCCGATGTGAAAAGCGCTATATCAAATGCAAGGATTATTATTATTATTATTATCCCCCTCCATGGATGCACTCTACACCTCACAGACCCAATACGGAATCCCGACGTCCTGTTCGACGTGTCATGACCCGCTCTGCCTTTCCGCACCTCCCCAACATTAGCTTCCTCCGCCATTGTCTCTCATCGCAAGCCGCTGAGACCCACATACGCGTATTCATCACATCCAGGCCCGACGACGCAACTTCCCTGCTTGATGGCCTCCCCAACTCCTCCATCCGCAGGCTGCAGATCATCCAGAACTCTGCATCTCATCCCCTACCAACCTGTCCGCTCCCTCTGCTCAGCAGGCTCTGTCCTGCTTCACATCCCCCGTCTGGCATGCTACACCATTGGTATTCTTTGACCACACCTTCAGTCATCCTCCTACCCTCCCCGCCCTCCACTCCTCCTGATCCCAACCAACCACCAGCTCGGGTGCGGATCCCTTCCCTGACTGTCCAGCAGGTTGGAATATCCTCCTGATGTGATAGGCGCCAAAGAAATGTAATTGTTATATTTGCCAACAAAATATACAGTCAATTCACTTTACAGTGTATTCAATTAAGCACTTTCAGACATTTCAATAACGTGATGAAGGGCAATATCAAATGCAAGGATTATTATTATAGTGTAGAAAACTACTGAAAAATTAACACATAAACAGACTGGATTATATTAATATAAGTAGAATATGAAATGACTTAATCTAACATGGGAGACCTCTAGCAAAATAATTAAAACCCTGTCGCATAATGGAGTCTCCATAAAGATGAACCACTTTTCCCCGAAGACAGTTTGTAATGTTTGTTGGAGTGTTGAAGAGGCGAATATTGCATTGTGTTGACATCCACTGGTCCTGACGGTGAAGTCAGAGACTTGCCACGGACACATTCTCCAAGAAAGGCACCTGAAAATAAAGTGAGATCCATAACTGGAAATCAATTGAAATACATGCTAAAACGTGATAATCTTGATGCTCCATGGATTATCATTTTTCCAAGTGGTTGATTAGTGTCTATGGCCGCCTCCAATTGTAAGATGCAGAGTCAGGGGAAAAGTAGTAGAATGGATAGCAAGCTGGTTACAAGACAGAGAGTAAGGGTAAAGGGTGGCTAATCAGACTGGCAGGGGGTGGGAAGTAGTGTTCCATATAGATTCGTATTGGGACCACTGTTGTTCACAATTTACAATCTGGACTCGGGGATCGAAAGTACAATTTAAAAATTTGTGGACGACACCAAATTAGGGGGTGTAGTTAATACTGAGGAGGACTGCAACAAATTATAACAAGACATCAATAAACTTGTTGAATGGGCATTTAATTGGCAAATGAATTTCAATATAGATAAGTAATAATAATAATAATAATAATCCTTGCATTTGATATAGCGCTTTTCACGTCGAGAGGACATCCCAAAGCGCTTCGCAGAACAACTGTAAAGTGAATTGACTGTATATTTGTGGGCGAACGCGGCAGCCAATTGCGCACAGCAGTGTCCCACAAACAGTCGTAGATTGAAAATGACCAATTTATTATTGTTTTGGTTTTTTTTTTTGGAGGGATTATTATTATTAGGCGTGTGGAGTAAGGAAACTTGCCCAAGGTTTCGCCCTGCCTGGAATTGAACTCAGGTCTCTCGCTTGCAAAGCGAGTGCTCTAACCACTGAGCTACAGGACTCCACTGTAAGAGGAATAAGGAGGTCACATACTGCCTGGAAAATAAGAATCTAAATGGGGTTGAGGAGTAAAAGGATCTAGGGTACAGATACACAAATCGCTAAAAGTAGCGACACTAAAGGCCACAAAAAAAGCAAACCAAGCCTTGAGATAGAAATGAAAAGAGAGGGCGAGAAATGAAAAGCAGGGAAGTTATGCTACATTTATATCGAACCTTGGTTAGACCACACTTGGAGTACCGGAGTTCTAGTCCTCATATTATAGAAAGGATCTAAAGGCACTAGAGAAGGTGCAAAGGAGATTTATAAGGATGATACTGGAACTGTGAGGAAACCTATCAGGAAAGACACAACAAGCATGGACTTGAAAAGAAAAAGGTGAGGGGTGACCTAATAAAGATCTTTAAAATTATGAAAGGTTTTGATAGGGTAAACACAGAGAAGATGTTTCTACTTGTGGGGAGACCGAAACCAGGGGACATAAATATAAAATAGTCACCAATAAATCAAATAGGGAAGTCAGAAGAAGCTTCTTTACCCAGAGAGTAGTGGGAATGTGGAAACTTGCTATCACACGGAATAGTTGAGGCAATTATCATGCATTTAAGGGGAAGCTAGATAAGTACATGAGGGAGAAAGGAATAGAAAGTTATGCTGATAGGCTTGGTTGAGGAAGGGCAGGAGGAGACTCATGTGGAGCATAAAAACCGGCATAGACCAGTTGGGCCGAGTGGCCTGTTTCTGTGCTGTATATTTTATGTAGCTCTATGTGGAAACTACTTGTAGAGCCAATCAGAAAATGTTACAAACAGTGATAAAAAAATATTAAGAGTGTATGGGACCCATACAAATCAGAAATGTCCTAAGTTTACTACAGTGGCAGAATTAGTTTCCTCTGATGGATAAAGGATTTTTTTCACAAAGGGCATGCTTTTATTCCTGGATATCTTATTTTGCCCACAAAATACAGAGTCACAGTATATCACAGTATATCCTATGAAGCGCTTTGAGACATCTCCACAATGTGGTAAGCCGCCCTATCAAATGCAAGGATTATTTATTTATTATTATTTATTTGCTCTAAATAAGAATCTGCACCCAAATGGTAAATAAATAACTCCAGATACATTAGACAACTTTTTATTCAAAAAGTAACTCAACCATATCTGCAGTATGAAAGGATTATCCCAAGAGCTGTATTTATGTTCCCTTTCATAGACCAAACCTTTCATTTACTCATT